AGCTAAAGTACTATAATGTAGTATACAGGATATATATAGGAGGAAGAAATGAATGGAAGCGGACCCGGGCCAAAGGCCGAAGGGTCCGGAAGCAAACAAGGATAAGGAGTGGGGTTGGCCACATAGCGGTGCTGGACTCGGAGTTGGGCCGGAGTCAGGCGTGGGGATGATAGCGGCCCTGTAGGGGCCAAGTGGGCAGGGTAGGGGAGTCGCGCTGGGCACGGTGCCGGAGGCGGGCTCAGGTGGGGAGGTTGGTGCAGCAGCAGGGGAGTCGGCCAAGTGTAGGGGAGCCTAGGGGCAAGCAGGGAAGTGAGCAGGGAGTCCTCAGGGAGGATAGGGATGAGGTTGGGGCTCGCGCTCACACTCGCATAGCGGTAACGGGCTCGGGCGGCATCGGATGGGCAGCTAACGGGCCAGAATGCGTGGCCGTGACAACATGTTGAGATTTGTACGCACAGATTCAGTTGAGTCACAGAAGGGAGGTTGTTACAGGGACAGTGCACAAGGAGGTTTGTAGTTGTTCATAGTAGTTAGCAGGTACTACCTCTGGTGGTTTCCATACATGATATGTGACTACCTACAAAGTAAAATGGTCATGGGAAATCCCACAAAATACAAACAACCTTGGCCAGCACCAAAACCCCAATGGGCAAAGCTTTGCATGAGGGGGGGTAGAATGGGAAAGAATATGAAGGGTAGCAGGAGGGAGGGAGAGGGAGAAGGGGATCTTTGACTGAGCGATGGATATGGTTGTTGGAGCCTCCATATTCATAACAATGCTTGACACCCCTGACCCCACAGGTCCACAGGTTGAGATGCTAATTTTTGACAACTCAATTCACTTCCAGTAAACTTTCCTTTCAGTGCTTGTAAACCAAAGCATTAACTGAATTTAAGATTTTCAGAATGATTTTTACTCTCCCTATTTACACAGACCACTTTCCCTTGGATCAATGTACTGTTGACCCATCCAGCCTGGGCACCTTGGATGGCTTCCCACTGTGCCCAGCATGCACACCTGCAGTGGACACCCCCAGGATCCCCTGCAGGGACACCTGGATGGCTGTGGCTGTGTCCAAGGATGATGTGGCACCCATCATGTGACCCAAGCCACATGTATATAAATGTACCTGAAGTGGGAACTGCAGAAGTAACCCTTTTCCACTTCAGGTAAGTAGTATAGCTTTCCCCTTAACTCACCTTCTTCAGTCTAAGTGGCCAGGGACTGCTGTCCCACACCAGGCCCACCAGTATGCATGCTGTTAGAACTGGGCGAGGGCGGACGATTCCGGAGGGGAACCAGAGACTTAGCAAGGAGGGACCTTGGCCTCAGTGACTCAAGCGGAGCGCTGTGCCATTGCTGTTTGTCCATTTGGTCCTTAATTTCATAGGCAGTGAGCAGGAAGTCTCTAGGGGGCATTTCAGGTCGATTTTAGACTGAAGGTCCAAAACAAATATGTACAAGTGCCCGTATATAATAGGGAGATGAAAGCACAAGGGAAACAAAGGGGGTCCGAATCGGAACAAAGGTGTCCAAACGGGAACAAAGGGATGACAGAAGCGGAGCAGTACCAAAGGTCATAGGTCAGAACCTGTGGTACATCCGAAAGGAGATAGGGAGGGGGAAGCCCAGAGGGGCAGGAGGATGAGGTGAAGTGGGGATGATGACTAACTGGCTAGAATGGGAAGAAGCAGCAGTCCAAATAAGGATGAGGGGAAAACGTGAGAGATACATTACAGACGGCAAAAGTGCCAAGTATGATCCGTGGAGCTTGGAGGTTACAGAGGTTACGGAGCTTATGGAGGTGGGGTTGAAAGTCCAAGGAATATTGGCAATGGTGTTTACGTAGTATGAGGTCACCAATGCAATGGACTTAAGCTGAGGTGGAGTCAAAGTCTGAGGTTGGGACTATGATGGAATCTCGGAGCAAAGGTATGAGTGGTGTCCGAGTACAGGGTATGGGACAGTGGCGGAAGGTCGTAACTAGGCAGAGGGTCGGTGGAAGAGGGTCAGGGGGAAGAGAGAGAAGAGAGGAGCGGGGTGAGGAGTGGAGAAGAGGAAAGGTGTCAGGTCCAAAGGTGAGTATCGGAGCAGATGGTGTAGGTGGGCACAGCCAGTACTGCACAAACGAACCGAATATCGTGATTTCCCCATCCCAGCACATCCCCACTTCACGAAACACGTCGTACACATCCTCATATACCATTTCTACCCTTCCACGATTTTTTCCTATTTTTTCAGACACATTTCCAGTCCCCACAGACCAAATTCCCATGCCCACCCAGCAGCATGGCCACACTCACACTGGATTTCACTTATCTCAGCAACCACAGCACCGATTTGGACGATATTGGTACCGTTGGAAACGCGTCATTTAGGAGTACTAGGATCCGTAATTAGCGAGAGTTGATTGGCAATGGATAGAGTTGGATATTTTTTGGCTGGAAATCATTTATTGCTTTATTGTTTTCCCTTCCTTTTTCCGATATTGTTTGTTGCCAATATGACCCACCTAAGCACATGGGACCCATCGGATATTTTCCTTCATTCTTATTTGATCATTTCTCATATATACCTGTACATGAGGATGTATCTACTTTTTCCTTTGGATTAGAAACCACCGAGTTTGCCCCTCCCAAGCTAGTAGGGAGTATTACAACGAAGAACATCAGTAAGAAGACCTCTAGATCAGTCCTCACCTTAGTGTCACTCAGAGAGGTGGGGTGAGAGGTTGATTAGAGTACACCATGCACCGCACCACACTGGACCATTACCATTACCCCCCTTTTCCTTGACCTGTTGGATACCAATCCAGTCCCCATCCTTTCCTGTTTGCCTGCTGGGTTAGATCCCTAGCCTGCTTACAATGGGAGAAGGGTAGAGGGTAATGGAAGGGTGGAGGTGTCGTGAGGAGTAAGAGGAGGAGTAGTGGAGGAGTAGGGGAGTGGTGTCAGGTCCGAAGGTGAATATCAGAATGGATGGCGGTAGGGTAGGACTCCAGAGGTGGTGAAGATGGAGGTCCGGGAGTTGGATTGGGATCAGGTATGTACGGATATGACACACGCCTGCTTTGCACCCTGGGAGGGTGTCATATCCATACCAACTCCGCCTCACCTCCGCTCTACTCCACCACAGCTCCAGTCCACCTCCAGTCCATCCTCCCCCTGTACCTCCACCATACCCTCTGGTTCACCTCCAGTTCACCTCTGCCTCCAATCTCCAGTACCTTCTCTGGTACCTCTTATCCTCATCTTAAACATTTATATCTACCCAATATTACTACAGACCTCCTAGGACCTCCACCACCCCCGCAAAGATTTTCCCACTCTCCAGTAGCTGTCACTAATTCCACCCTTCACCTACCCACTCCACAATGCTCGATAAGGTGATTCTTTCCTGAGCTCACCGACCCGGCAAGTGGGTAAGTCCCCCTTGGGTTTTCCCCTTTGTCTTCTATTATGTATATAAGTCCTGTACTGTAGTTGATGGCACCTCAGTGCAAAATCGACAAGACTATCCCCCAGAGTTTGTGCCCCTCATTCTGAAGTTAAGGACCAAAACTCTTAAGCGTTACCGAACGTAGGCACAGCACTCCTCTCCGAGTTGCTGAGGCCACGGTCCTCCTGCCCATTCTCTACCTCCTGCCTCCTTCTGGGGAAAGGTCCAGGGACACTGCCCCTCCTCGCCATGTACTTGACAGAGGGTCCCCCTGCTGGACACTACATCCGGACCCCCTCTACCCTGGACACATCCCTGACAATTATGTGAATGATGGCAGGATGCAAAAAAACACCCTGATAAAGCCATTGTTGGAATATCTTCCTAGGCAGTAGTTTGGTATTTTATTTGCCTTGGTTGCATGGTGCCCCACAGTACAATCCTAGATAACAGTCAATTGCAAGACACATAGATATGTGTCAGGGATCAACAATGACCCTGGACCCTATGCTGGCTGCACATATGCATGTGGGAAGTATGCCAGCTATTTCCATCTACTCTACTTACCTAAGCCCTGGTGGCCCTGATCATCTCCAGCATTGTTCTGGAACATTCTATGCTCATGTGATTCTATCAGCAATCTTGGTTCCTTATTGCCAGACTCTACATGTATATAGCTGACTCTAAGATGGGGACATTCCTTTCTTCCCCAGCCTTACAATGGAAAAGAGGTGTTCAGGAATTTTGACATGGAGGTTGCTTGAACTTGACAGGATATCCATTGGATGAGGAACCAGGCCAAATTCCACACTTTCAAACAGTGGCAACTGAACATAGAATCCAATGAGAGTGTCATAGTCTCTGTGAAGAGAGACACCATCTGGGCCTAGTTGGTTCTCGTGTTCAAAGTATTGAGTCTCAAGTAACAGCCCCTTTCATTCTTGCCTTCTAAAAGAACTTTCTCAAATCCTTCATCCAAGACCCCAGTGTCACAACTGACAAATCCTGGGGCTCCATCAGTGGCAAACTAATGCCAATAGGCAAATCTGCCTCCCTGAAACCCAACCCAACTGACCCTCAATCTGATGTCTGGCTCCCCACCACCTGCACCCCCATCATGTGAGACTTGACCAATGACCAGATCCCGGACTGTGCCAACATTCTGACTTTTCCTCCAGTTCCTGAGCCCTTGGTGCTCTGGGCATTCCATCACTCAGCCTCTGCACCCTCCAGTCTCAGGCCTATGGCACAGCCTTGCCTATTCCCATCTCGTCCCCATCCAGACCACACTCATTGCTTCCCACTATGTGGTCACAGCCATACACCGCTTCTGCACCTTCCACACCCTCCACCTGTCCTCTTCCCACTTCTGATTGGGCTTGACACCTCTGTGGTTGGGTCAACACACTCCCACTCCCCTCCCTTTGTTGGCTCCCATGCTGTCCTTGTTTGTGACAGTACTGACTGATCAACCTCCACATCATGGACTTGTGTCAGCAACACACCATTCACTTAACTTGCCAATATCAATGCTTGATCCACTTTTTATTGGCACTAGGTTATTGGTCCCATTTCCCAGGCCCTTGTTTTTGATTCACTCTGCTGCCAGGCACAGGTGTTTGACATACAAGCAATGACATAAAAGTGGAGGTCACAGGTGAGAGAATATCAAAGGATGGAAAAGAAGTAGGAGTAAGTCAGAATTGAATGAACTGGGTAGGGGTGGTACTCTGACAGTTAAGGTGGATAAGGGATGGTGATGGTGATGGAAGGTCTAGGATATGACAAAGGCTCAATGTTCAAGCTGGCAGTCAAAACCAAACAGTTGCATACCATTAGCATCACATCTCCATCACTGGCCCAATGAGATCCTGTCCACCCACTTAAGCACCTTGGAAAGGCATTCTAGGTCATGCTCTTTTGTGATTGGCCGATCACGTAGCTTGTCATTTGATACCCCCAATTCTTCAATAAGTGGCTCATGAGGGAACTTTGCCTTACCCTCCTCCCCCCCCAATCAAAGTCCACTAGCAACATTCTCTTGTTGGTAAAAACAAAGTTTGCAGGACGTAGATCACCATGGACCCAATTTTTATCATGGAAGGCATTGACCAGGTTGCAAATACTCTCCTTCCACTCCTGAGCACATGGAAGGGAGGGCTTGATGTGCTTGTGATCCTTGGTATTGATACTCTCCATTGCCACGGCATACCATCCCCCATGTAACTGTTGGAACCCAAGTATCTGGGGGGCAAGCCCCTTTGATGCACAGAAAGCATGCAGGTCCTTGAAGTAGGTTTGTGAAAACTTGACAAATATAGCTTTATCCAATGGGTTTGATGAAACTAGAGTAGCATGGTACAGGTGCCGGTGTTCGAAGTTATCAAATCGTGACTTGAGGATGAACTCAATTTTCTCCAATCCCTGTTCAGGAAACACATTAATTTCAGTCACACTTGGGTAGCGGCTCATCTCAATGGTCATTGAGTGGGGCCACAAGTTAAGGGGGCCTCTGAGCACTTGGAGGAAGTCTTTGATGTCAGATTTGATCTTTGAGAAAACAAGAGCAGCAGCCTTAAATGCTAGGAGGAGGTCCCATCGGAAGTCTTCACCAGTTGGGTCTGTCAGGGGAAGTGATGGTGTCAAGGGTATGACACGCACTTGCCCTACCCAGACAACCCCAAAAAATTGGATGGTGGGTCCTGTGTGTCTCAATAAGGAACAACTCATGAGGGATACAAGTGAACTCACCAACATGTATCACTCCCAAGGCAGGCACCCTCCACCTCTGGAAGAGCTCTGGTTTTTCTTCAGCTTGCCCTGCAAATGAAGTGGCAATATAAGCGGCAAGCTGAGCATTGGGCTCACAAGTTGCAGATGACAACTCATTCTTGCACTCTATACATATTACCATGGCTCCATGCTCTCCATCCAGGTGGCCATCTGACCTCTTTCGGCTGCCAGATAATATGTTGGGCTTGATAGAGTTGGGAGGGGTTTTTAAAATGGGCTCCAGAAACTTGATGAATTTGGAACGTCTTTCATCTTCATTGTCAAAAAACCCAGTCATTTCATTTGCAAATGCATTGACATCTTCCTTCAGTTTATCTTCAGGGAAATCCTTCTCTCCAGGGACATCCAGTCCACAGCGAATGTCACGAAAGTATCCAAAGGGCTGGTATAGGAGAGATATAGGTGCAATGAGTTTGTCCTTTCCAGGGCGATCATCCAAGATCCTTTGCTGAGTGTTGCATTGGATACTGCGGTAGGATTCGATTTTGGCAATAGTGGATGGAGCCTCATTTACCAGACGCATGTCATCAAAACAAGTCACAAGACTAGTCAGACCAGACTTGGACTGGATCTCTGGGAATAATACATTCATGATGTAGCCAATTAGACAATCAAGACACACTCACGAAAAATGACTAAGAGCATTCGGCCTTCCCACTCTGACAATTTCTTCCCTGGGGAGAAAATACGACAGCTTTTGTGAAAGAAGTTGTCATCCAATTTTAGATCCTGTAAGCTGCTTGGTTCTTCTCTTGGCTACAGGGTGTTAGCACTCAAGCCAGGTGGGAAATAGCTGTCACACCTCATAAACATGAATACGATAGTCACTGGTCCCCAGTGGAATTTTAGGCCTAATCGATCGGCGGAATCCCTCATGGAGAAACTTTACAGGATCTTCGGAAGTTGCCTCAACATCGCCCCGATGGACAAACTGATAGGAATTAGGTCGTCCGTCAAACAAGGCATATGGAATATGGAGCTTCCGTCTCGCAGCTGCGATGATTTCAATACAGTTCACAAAGGCAAATCAGAGACTAAACGGACTGAATGCGAATATGAGGTTCGGGAGTCCTATCTTCCACAGTGGTGCTTCAGGGTCAAGAAGCAAAGTCGTAGTCTTTCGCAGCTGAATGGGTTCCAGCTTTCCCGCCTCTTGCAACTTAACGTAATCCTCATCCGGCATCTGCAAAACGGTCACGGAAAATGCATTAGAGTTTGAACGCTGCATACCTGATACAAAGAAAGCGCCCGAAGAATCTCCTCGCTGCCCAAGCGAGGAGTGACAACGGAGCTGACATAGTCATAAAGCCCTTTCGGCGAATCCCATGGGTGTGCCGTCCATTCGTATCGGCCAAACGAGGATCCGAACTCCTCGAAAACCATGAAGTTAAATGTCAAGCTAGCGCCTATAATGATAGCTCCAGACTTCTATTCACCGGTGACCTGAGCAACTTACTGAAAACCACCATGAGGTCCTCACACTGCGTTGCCTGCTCTAATATTAATTTGACCTTGTCTGAGTCCAAGGGGTTTTTGGCAACATCTTCCAACATCCGTCGCGTCGGCCCCACCCCTGTCGGCATTGGTTCCAAACACTGCAAAGCTCGGGATGAAACACAAGCGAACCAGGGACCACACATTCACCTCACCTCATAAATTTCAAGGCCTGTTATAACTGACGAGGTGCACTGCTTAAACTTGGGATGCGAATAGATGAGACGGACAGCGGTTTGTTGGAGATTTTGTGCAATATCTCGAACACATCCCAGATATTTGAATGATTTGGGTGGATGCTCGTGAATCAAGTGGAAGATGGCCATAGTGTACGATGAGAGATAGTACTGGTGACTGGAGGAAAGAAAGGTGGTGGGATCTCAAGATCGGCTGTCGCCGATCGCTCAGTCCCAAAGGATCGATAACTCACTAGATCACTAGGATCCAATGGATTTGATTTGAGGAGAGTGGGACAGCAATCGTGCCTCAGAAACCATAAGGCACGCACTCAGGATAGCGATCTCACCACTCTAACGTTGTTATCCTTTCTTTCCACCCACTCCCTCTCTAACACCCGGGGTCACGTCTCCCATCCCATTCCTCGTCGTGAGACTCCAGAGGAACGCAATGGTCGTCGAAGCCAACGCCCACCTACGGGGAGCGTAGTATGAAGCTGACTACGGTGACCGTCACCGAGATTCTCGAGCTCCGCATACCACCACCCGACGCTATCGAGGCAAATCCCATTTTCGGGGCCATTAGTCCAACCCTGAAGGCTTCGCCCCATGTGGCATTGCTTTTTACACTAATCTACGGTACGTGGGTTGTCTTACGGAATGGCAATCTTACAGGTCTTGCATAATTATACTAATACCCCCGCCAATTCACCCGCACCCAGAGAATAAATGCTCGTTCGTACAGTTTATTTTGGAGCCGTTGTATGAGCTTTATACACAGGTTTCCTTCCTCATGGCCGCAGTATGCATGGTAGGATGAGCAGCGAAGTAGGCTTTAAGCAAGAGCACGAGGCCGCTGGCACTAGAAACTGGTGGGGCTTCCAAAAGTGACTACATGGCTGTGTTAATGTTACAGAACCTCCATTATTATTATTCGTAAACAAGGCCCCATAGGTCCTGCGTCCATCGTGATAGTTGTCCTTTTACAACTGGAAAAAAAGCATGAGTGAACAACACACGGTTCATTTGAGTAGCCCACCGTGAACACTGTCAGCACGGGTGAAGGTGCATGAAAAGTCCTCGCACCCGTTGAAAAGACGGGTTTCGGGGTCTAATTCTTACTCGTCCACGGCCAGTCGGAAAGACGCAAAGATTCCGACATCCGGACGAACGTGTTCATCAAAACTTCTCTCGATGAAAATAAAAAGCTCCCGATCGTGCCAAGGATGAGCGGATACCAAAGGATCGGGATGGGCAAGAGAAACAGCTTTCGTGGGGTCTGTCAGGTCTAGGGCCTTTATAAGGAATCGAGCACTGACCCAAAGATATTTTCCATTCCTCAGGCTGCCATGAGCCTATCCTGAGGTAAAATCTGTCCAAGTAATGCTGTGGCATGCCGAGAGCACCATAGGATACCAGATCGGAAACCGGGACGATGTCCCAGTCCTTATGGACGCTGGATCTCTTGAGCCATTGGGTAAATGCATCTGCGTAGTCTTGCAAGGGACGGCCGAGATCGCCTGAATAAGTGGAGCGAATCTACAATGAGAACCGCGTCATTTCGATCGCCACCCAGGGTATCTGACCGCGCACTGGCCGATTTTGTGACAGGAGTTCCATACTAGTGTTTCTTGCCCCAATGGGCTGGAGCGAACGAGGATGATGGTCGAATAGAGCTGGTTTTGTAAATTGCCTCGCGACACCTTGTTTCCGCAACACCCCGAAGCCGATTCAAACAGCTACTTGCACTGGCTCGACCTCGCAGGGTAATCTCCAATCAGAGCTGCTTCAGCAGTATTAGGAGATGCGGTGCACAAGTGCTTTATCGCCTGTCAAAGGTCGTTCCAGCAAAGACTGATGATCGTATAATAGAGGCTGGTGACCTGGGACCGGGTTCCCACGGTCCTAATAATGCAAGATACAAAAAATGCATACTCAACACGCAAAATGAATGAAGCCTACGGCTACCATTAAAACGAGTTACAGAAGTTGCAGAGGAGTTTGGGTGATGGAGATGCTGGGGGGGGCGCGCTTGACGAGATGGCTAGTCTAAAAATGCATCATTGGGCAAAGGAAGCTCATGTGAAATAAACACCAAACCGCGTCTGAATCATCAGAACACTAAGTTGGGTTAATCGCTTGATCAACATACCAAAGTGCAATAGGCTCTGACCGCAATTGCTCTGACACGAATTAGCGTGAACCATCAGCGCATAGGCCCGAGTATATTTTCCCCTTGGTAAAGTGAATTCGGGTCCCGCAAATCCATGTTCGAGCTAGGATGGGTGATTGCAACGAATTCGATCCATGGTCCACGCAACATGTTGGATGTTGTATAGGCTTGACGTCTGATAGGCACAAATTTGGCACGAGAGTACGTAAACGCAATAGCGAGTCGTGTCTATGCATCCGTGATGCAGTCCATGCGCACCAAGTGTCAAAGTGTTCAACATGAAGCTGCAATGGAACTTATACCGTTTCCGTTTCCGAGCAACCAACAGGTCTTTACAGTGGATTTCTATACCTTTCCTAAGATTGCAGGAGGCATACGAGATGGAAAATGACTCCGTTGCGCTCTGCCGTTGTCTTGTGTCTGTAGGCTCTGAGTCCTACACCGTGGATTTGGCTTGGTCACTTGGGAATCTAGGTACTTCACTCGCCGACCTTGGACGGCATTCCGAAGCGCTTCCGGTGATCAGAGAAAATGTCGAATTCTGGCGCAAGCTGGTCGCCGTCCATAGAACATACACGATGGAATTGGCTGGAGCGCCCCAGAACACCGGGGTACTGCTCGGTGGTCTTGCCATCCATCCGGCTTCATGCACCCCGGATTTAGCTCAAGCGCTCCAAAATCTTAAAATATCGCTCGACAAGCTCGGATGGCACTCCGAGGCACTTCCAGTGATCGATGAAAGTGTCACACTCTGGCACAAGCGCCTAGTTGCCGTCAATCCGACTTCATACAGCCCGGACTTAGCTCGGTCACTCGGGAATCTAGACACATCACTCACCAATCTCGGACGCCATTCTGAGGTGCTCCCGGTAATGAAAGAAAGCGTGAAGCTCTGGCGCGAGCTTGTTGCCGTCCATCCGTCATCATACACCCCAGATTTGGCTCAAGCGCTCAAATGGACACTTGACGAATTCGGATGGTATATACTCCGAGGCTCCCGATGATCGAAAAAAGTGTCAAACTATGCATATGGCGGAAGCTGGTTACTGTCCATCCGAGTTTATATACTCCTGGTTTGGCTCGAGGGCTTCCCAATCTTCACTAGTCACTTCGCAGAATTGAGTGCTCCCCGTGATCGATTGAAGTATTACTAAAAAAAACTTGAATGGCGCTCGTTATAAATGAGGACAAGGCGTGGGACCCTTTGGCGTCCCCCCATTTCCTCTCGAACACTCTCGGGCATTATTGCTAGTAGGCAGTAGGCGTGAGAACCTGAAGTTGGGCTGTTGTTGTTGTTGTTGTTTATTCTGGATATTTATCCTGCAAACTTTAGGCTGCTCGTGAGAGCGCCGAGGGCAGGGGTCGGAATAAATACACGAAAATAAAGTGAGAAAATAATAATCTAAGTCCGATTCGAGTGCTCTCATGCGTTCTGACGAGGTTAACTCCGAATGCTGCTCCACTTTTGAGTTGTCGCGTTGTGCTGGCCGGTTTTGGGTGACGGTGTCGAAAAGTGGGATGGGTTGAAGTTGGGCTATGGATTCTTTGTCATTTTGAATGAGGAGCGCTATTGAGCACAGAAGAGTATCAGGAGGGATGCTCTGAATGATGTCAGGACTTGAACACTTAAGGGAAAGTCAGCAGACTTCATGTTCCTTTGCATGGATTGATTTCGCATCATTTTTACGGGCATTGCATATATGCCCTAACCCAATATCATTTGTGATACAGTCTGTACAATGTAACGGATTGTGAACTTCAGCCCCAGTGGGCGAAAGTCAAAGGCGATCCGCAGAATGGAACCCAGGTGTTACGAATCCGCATTCCTAAGGTTTGGTTTGCTGTTGCGGCGTGTGCAGTACGGAAGGATAATATGGTGAGTTTAACGGTCGTTGGGGACATGCCATGACGTGATGGATGTGACGGACTTCTGTGAACATATTCCCGCTACTCTGTAGTGGGTCCTGTAAATTTAGGCCCCACACTGTGCACAGGGTCCTCTGTAATTGTTGTTTAATGTCTTCATTTCACGAGACTAATCACGGGTTAGCAGTCTGCCCCCAGCTGACCTCAGGTTTCCGCCCTTGTTTGCCACCGGCTGGGAAACCTGACTGCGCCCAGTCGCGACCGCTTTGGCATTCACATGCCTTCTCTCACCGATCGCGGTTGTCCCATGATTTATCGCGCAACTTAGCCTGAACGGGTCAAATCACGCTGCCTCAGTCGTACACTGAATGTTTTCGGCGCAGATGCGCGAAGCGGACCATTCAGTGGAGGTACGTACTGAATTTTCGCTGTTGAGGAGAGGTTTCATACTACCTAGGTCGTGCCTATAAAGGGGCCCTGACGGATCCCTTTTCCCCTCTCCCTATCGCCTGGTATCTCGCGCTCCCCTGGTGAGTGAGATCCAATTTGCTGCTTGCCTTTCCGGGCTCACGCTTTTGACCTGCTGCCACTGCTGCCACCTGCATATTACTCTATCCCGGATTTGCTGCTGCCAATACCGCGATTCTCGACTACATTCCCATCTGCTCCAGCCCCTAGCTTATATTTTCTTGTCTCCCTCCTCCTCCCCGATACTCCTCCATCTCTTCTTTTCGAACTTTTTCACATCGTCTGTTACTCTTTCTCTTCATTGTATTTCACCTCTGTACATTAGCTTCTGTTTGCTGTTTTAGTTGTTAGCGCCTTCAATTGTGGCTGTCATCAGTTCTAGTGATTTTCCTGCTCTTCCTTTGTATGTACGAGAACACGGGTCACGTGTCGCGCGCATGTGGCAAATTTCACATGGGCCCTTTGTGGCCGTTGCCCACTACCAGCAGTTGTTAGCCCTGATTAGCCTAAGTCTTTTCCCATTATGACAATGACAATGTAATTCACTCAGTCGTCTCCATACGACTTCTGCGTGGAAAATATAATTGTGAAGAAGAGAGAAGGGGAAAAGTGTTCTGAAATAGTGATAACGCAAAGAACGAAGACATATCCAAAACCAAACATCGAAAGGCAGTTGTGAGGAGAGTGGCAGGCCCTTGCCGCGACAGGCGGCGTCCACCAGTTATACATAATATGCATGTGCAGAGTCCGCAGCGCTCAGGATGGGAGTGATTTGTGGAGACTGAGGTGCAGCCCTCCAGTAGGTAGATGCGGGGGATGTGAAGGGAGTGAAGTGTATCTAAGTCAGGTCGAAATGAAAGTGAATGATGGACAAAGACCCCCGACTACTAATGTGAAGTAGTGAAGGCAAACTGAGTGTCGCTGGGTGAAATTTGCTTCTGACGCGAGGTCAGATCAAGTTGCAAAGTGCACTCTAAAGCCACAGAACGATTGACCAGGAGGGGGTTACAACTTGCATAAGCGGTCACTAGCAGTGAGAGTGAGGCTTGAGCATGATGAGAGAGCGAGAAAGGCGAGGCAACCAATCGGAGTGCTTCGATCGTAACTCTCCCCAGCTTTTAGTATATTATATGTAGATATCAATTGCCAATTCAATGAGGAAGTGCGCGCTCAAGAAAGACATGAGCAATACAAGGCAGACAAAGAAATAGGATAAAAACAGGTGCGTCACCACAGCGCCGCATTACCCTTAAGTTACTGTCGCACCCCGATGCCTCTCCCAAAGTGTAATTGTGCGGTCTGGTCTCCACTTAGCGCCGAGCGGGTTACAGCTTCCAACAATCTGTTCCTACATACCGGTGCCACGCTGTCATAAGTGCCCGTTGACCAGGCCCCTGTTTGGTGTTGGCATACAGCTCGGCATTGCAGGTGTGGCTGTTGTGCACGGATAATCCAATTAGCTCCGATTCCTCAAATAGCGAACAACGCGAGGGAATATACCTATGTTGGGAGGATTCTTCATTGGTGTTATGGCGCGGTGCATGAGTAGTTGGCCATCTGTGCTCGATGAGAACTGTTTAAAGAGGTAAATGTGAACCAACCTTTTTGGTAACGGGTGAGGACACAAAGGCGCGCTTTCGGCTCGTGAATTGAGTGGGTGCTGATCTTGTCCCTTCGCGGTTTTGATCGATCATCACCATCTGAGGTGTTACCTGTGCCGTGGTCTCGATGTCCAACGTCACGAAAACCGGTATGGCTCCAGAGCACTCAGGAGTGCTCTGTAGACGGGTTTCCATACTCCCAAACTCCCACTGCTCTCAGAAAACCTAAACCGAACCCCAGAGTGTGATCTCTAACGAATACAAATGAAGTTCACTTAACCAACCTACTGTCTTAGATAGTATTTCGGCGTCTGAGTAGCTGCACCCATGCACTGTCTGCACTGAGGAAATTTTACGGGAGGGCCCAAAAGCTCTTGGGTGCCCATGACTGGTTTTTTCAATTGGAATAGTAAATTGGCTGCACTTCTTCAGCGACTTTATCAAATGTATTACCGGCATCGACTTCCGATGCTCCGTCATCGCCGTTGCCGTTGCCAACATCACCAAAGTCGTTCTCATTCACTTTTGCTCATTTTCTTTTTTCTATTTGCTTTTCTTACACATCAATCTTAGCACTTGTTATCGCCATTGTTCTCGCATCATGATATTATTATAATTATTACACAGATCCCACATCCATAGCTTCTAATGCATTCACAATTCTTCCAATGACATGGTGATAGTCATGGTTATTGCCATCGGCATCTTTGTTTTCATTGATACATCAGCTTGGCATGTGTCTGTCATTGAAATGGGGCTTCTAACGGAATAACCGCTTGCTCTAGTGACAATAGCTGTAAGGAAATATACAATAAAAAGGAAACTAATTCAAAAGTGACCAAAATAAGTAAGAAGAAAAGGTGTGGCTGTATGAAAACTCGTCTGGCCTCCCATAGCACATGGTTCCTCTAACAGCTTCCAACAATGCAGGGTGCTGGAAGAGGTGTGCAGGTGCCACCTTGCTTCTCCAGAAGCCTCAGTTTGCTATGCAGGTGTCTGTTTGCTCTGAGTCAGTACTCAAAGAGGAGTGCTTTATACTGTACCTTGATAGCTTGGGGTCAGTAGGTTTGATAGCTTCGATGGTTTGATGCAGCTGAGCTTCTTCCTCATCCATGAAAGCCCATATCCGATGAGCTTCGATGCTGACAATCTCAATCTCTTTGTGAGCATGTTGTCATATCCATCCACAGCCATCGTCTTCCACCACCTCCGACCCTTCCGGTCTACCTCCACTCCTTCTTCACTAACCTCAGAGCTCCCGTATTCCGCAATCACCTCCACCTCCCTCGATGGTCACCACCCCCTCTTTTCAATCTATTACCTACACCTCCCTAAGTACAGAGCCCTGAAGGCTTCCGGACAGCTCCGACGTCTGCTAGCGCACTCCTGCCTCTGCTGGGCAATTCACTTGCTTGCCCTGCAAGTCCACCTTTGGGCCTATCCCTCCTTTCCGTTTCTGGGTTATTGCCTGCCATTCTGCTAACCCTGTAACCCGACTTGTCAGTAATATTCAATCGGCTAATGTTTAACTCCATTAGCTCCACTCCACTCAGCCCCATCATTCATGGGCCTGCCCTCGCTGTAACTATACTTAACTTGTACATAGGTTACACCTCAGTGATAAAATCGACTAGAGTTGATCCCCCTTTAGTTCTCGTTGCCAGTAAGTAAATTAGGGCACAGATGTGTAACTTGGCACAGTGCTCCTGGCCTGAGTCGCTGAGGCCGAAGCCCTCTGCCATGGAGACAATTCCTTCATCTCGATCCGGTCTTTGATACATGTTGAAACTTGTGCCAGGCATGTGTTGCTTCACTGAAGTGGTGCTGAAACCATGGCTTGTCCTGGATATCTTCACAGCCATGCAAAAGAACGATGTCAGACAGGAAATTCAAGTCCATAACATCTTGCCACATTGTAGGTGGGATAATCACCCATGTGCAGAGCCAGCTCAGATACCCACTTCCACCATTCAGAAAACCCCTTCCATTCATGCGACAACTCGATACGAATGTGTTATCTAAAAATAGGGCTAATTCGTACAATTCTGACGATACCAAGAATGTCCCAATCGGTGGAGATTTGATGGAGTTCCATGTTGGAGAAGTTAGGCACAGCAGGTCACGAGTATGTGCAGGCATGGGAATCTCAAGCAGCAACCCAGAATTCCAGCCTCAACTCGTTCCCACAGCATCTAATAAATTGGTAAAAATGCTCATTGGCTGCATAATAGTTCTATTCAGTCTCATTTCCAATTTCGGCTCTTAATTCCATAAATCTGTTGAGAAATCGCTTATTTTCATATATTTTTATATTTTGCCATCATTTCAGTTATTGATTGATATTCTTTTATTGTTACTGTTACCCTTTTATTATTTCGCCTAATAAGGTACCCAGGTGCCATATGGTACCAATATTCACCATCTAAAAATAATTATTTCTGATAATCCTGTACATACTGGATTTTTGAAAAGACGTTCTCCAGGAGGAATAAGGGCAACGATCTAGCCTGCAACAAGTGGGTAGTGGATTTGTTGAGCCCGGACCTTGTGGAAATCCCGGAGAACCCACCATGGAGTTTAAGGATTGAGCATAGTGAAGTCAAGGGAGAAAGTAGAGTTTAGGGAGAGTTTGGCCCCATGAGCTTAGTTGGCATAGAGAGCTGCTAGCCCTCTTTCAGCACCTGTTGTCCATCCTGATCTGGCAAGGCAAACTTGTAAGGCATTTGATGCAGAATGAAGAAGAAAGCTTACAGCAGTATGATAATGGAGATGATTGAAGCTGGGAAGGATTGTTGAGCCTACTGAGGAAACGACAGTCAAAGGAATGATAACTGTCAGTTCGTCACTTGAATATAATATTCATTGAGCCAGCATGTAATTCAATGGCAATCTGTGACATTCAATTTGAACACTGCCAACACATTGCCTAGTGTGCTACACAAGCTCTTCTAGTCAATTGATATGAATAAGGACAATGGTGAATACACATTAAGTTGTTGCTTAGGAGAGGACTCACTCACCTTAACAGACTTGATGTACACAAAATCACAAGCAACTGCACAAGAGGTCTTTGAGAGCTATGTTAAAGCCAGCAGTGGAGTATACTGCTGGGATGACAACAAAGTCAAGGGTTTCAACAGAAATGTGAGTGAGAGCTACATCCTGGACTTCTACATGGCATGGAAAGTGAACGGTGAGTGCTGATTCATAAACACATTCCCAGCATGCTTACAACAATGCAGGAGGACCTCAACTTGGGGTGGGGCAACAATGTCTAGAAGACATCAAGCAGGTTATTCCAAGAGAAGTCTTTACAAAAGTGTCAGGGCATGGCCTAACTGGCTACCGTGACTCCCTATGCCAGAAGGGAGTTGCCATAAGACGATCTGGAGTGATCTGAAGAATGCAGGTAATCTTGCTTAGCTCTCACTTAGCATCCCGCTTCTATCTTCTGTCCACATGTCACCCCTTTCCCACACTTCGCTTACGATTATCCAAATGAATATCTATCTTTTCATGTCATCATTCTATCGGCTGCTTCTTATCTTGTTGTAGCTGCGCTCTAGTGGGCAGCGGTACCCATGTATATAACCCCTATCTCTGCTGAAGGTGGCACTTCAGCATTAACAATGACTAGGATTCTCAGGAACACCCTCTTTGTTGTGAACTGACATGCAGTCCCTGACAAAAGGAGATGGTGCATATGGTAATGGAGGACCTCTTAGCTCCATTGCTAGCAGTGCACACTCAGATGTGGGATATTTGTGCATTAGTGGGTAGCTCTTAACCTTTCATGGGACTACGAACCTTATCTGTAGGAAAGACCTCCATCTTAGATCACCTTGGACCCACAGCTTTGCCTTGATTGAATATGAGGGCCAAAAAGCACCTATCAACATCGTTACACCAAAAAGCATTGGAGTTAATGAGGGCTGGGAAATGTTGAGATCAGAACTCCTGGATGCTGAAGGAGCAGAGCTGGATCACCTTATGTAACCAGTTTCCTATGTCCAATAATGATATTAGAGTTTGTGCTGATTTGCTTACTGACTGTGTTTTGGTTGCCAAATATATAATTGTTCACTGTATAAACAACAATAAACACCCCCCAACGATCTCACCTGATGTATAGATCGTCTACAGATAAAATTCTATATTGACTTTACTATAATTTCTAGTCAATATTACACCTAGATATACCACTTTTCAGTAGGACATGATTTTCCTGATAATTTACTGAAGAAAAACTACTAATAAAATAATTCCACAATAAATGTTACTCAATACAAGAGTGACCAAACTGTCGCTTAGAGTGCGTGCTAGTTATCTAGCAGGTTCAGGATCACTCACTTTTCTCCTGTGGTGTGATAACCAAATATTACTGAGAGATTATTCAATTAAGAAGTCCCTCCACCAAATTCTCACTAATTCTCACTATGACACTTTTGTTCAGCTGTGTCTAACTGACCCTAACTCACACTTAGAGTGACGTGTTAGTTTTATATTAGCTAACAACTAATATTTGCTTTTATCTTTTGGAGCAAACGAACCAACCACTGGTGAGGAGAATTAAACTTATAGTTCTACCTGAGGTTTGAGAGGGGGCAGAAGTGGCAGCCTTTTATGCTTTTCAGAGACCTCTCTACTCCCACGCCTCACACTAGTCACATGTGCTACATTTGTATTATAGACAGTTCTGGAATGATATAGGGGCTTGGGCTGTGTAAGCTTAATAATGGACTTAGGACATGACTCAGCAATAAGTAATTCAGTTCTTTGTCTTTTGGGCCGATCTCAGTGGAGGTTTGCAGTGCTAAAGCTATGCTTTACACCGCCTTAATTACGAACGGTTATCTTTAGAAATGACCCAGCTATAAAGGAACTTTCTAGACTGTTCTCTAATTCACCCCTTTTTGTGAAGCTGCATCATTAGAGACGTTCACAGCACTCACAACTCAGGCAAAACTAAGTCACAAGAATGCCAAAACTCACCACTCTTGTGTGACAGTTTTCAGAGACTTTTGAGTAAGTTTTGAGTGCAGCAAAAGGGCGTTCACAGCGACAGGTTCAAAACACTGTCATAACGGACCCTCTGAATCAACCCATAAGTCCGTTGGCCTTAGAACGCGTGAATGTATTATGTAACGACTATGCCAGCGGTTCCGCAAATGCGAGCGCTTAATCCAGGTTGGACTAAACCATGTTTCTCACCTCCAGACCAGATACTGCCACTAGCAGCACTGTCTTTTGTTATAGGCTAACCACCTTGTCTCTTAGCAACTCCAACAACAGCTCCGACGTCTCATCTGGTAGCAGTAGGTCATTGTCTGACTCCAGTTCAGTTCCCCCAGCACTTCCAGTTCAAGTCAAGCTTCCGGCACTCAAGCTACCTCTTCCTTAGCCAACTCCCAAGTCCAATCAAGCCGGCAACAATACAACATGCAGTCAATGCATGCTTTCTATTTAGGTTGGCCACTACATGCACAAAGCTGATGATCCACGAAGATTTTGGCACAACCTGTGCGTTTCACCCCACACATTTAACTTAATGCTTGAGGACCATCCTACCTGCTGTAATTAGTCGTAGTAACGAGTGTGGTAGGCAACAGTGTGGTTCAGGTAGTAGGAGGTGTTGGGAAACTGTATAGTTACATTGGAGACAAATACATGAATGCAGGACGGAATTAAGACTGTTTAAAACCAAGTTGTGAAAACAGATAGTTGTGGTTTTCACAGTCTTGCGGCCTCGGAGCCGCAACACGAAAACACCCTCTTGTGGCACACTTTTCAAAACACACTGGAGTTTTGAGTCACTTGTGAGTTTGAGTTTTGGCACAGTTTTGCCTGAGTTGTGAGTGCCGTGAACATCCCTATTACCAATGTTCTAGAGCCTTCCCAATTAATTAAAAGTTCTGGGGACTTCTGAATCACTTTATGCTTATGATCCGAGATCCAGATCATCAATCATTCCTTTGTTCTGATTTATTTGGGCTTAAAATCAAAAGGTTTTGATGAATCATGGGAAAATACACAAGATCCGGTTTTTTAGCATTTTCTCCTCTTCTGATGCGATCAAAAACTGTCCGTTCCCGCCGGAGGATACTCTGCCATATGGTATTTGGTCCGCCAGACTTCTGGGCGTCAATATATTTCCCTTGAGTCACATTACTTTTTGTGAGAATTAGCAAATAAATATATATGAATTATAAGGTGTTTCGCTGTTCGAGCGATATCTCCGTCAGTTTTGAAGCTTTTAGAATAAAACAAAACCGTGGATAAGGTTTGGAAACATTCCTTTCAGACGGTAAAAAGATTACAGTCAAAGGTCTACTGGTTCCCGAGATATTTACATTTCTTTCCCAATGTTCCCTCTTATTCTGCCATCTATGTGCTATTTTCTTGTTGTAGGGATATATTCTTTGAATATTATATTTTCTTACACCTATGCCAGGTTCTAGGCATGCTTGTAGTAGCTTAAATCTCATGCTACATGGGTGCAGATAATTACAATGAGCTTCTAATGTGTGTCCAGTCTCATAAAGATCATGAGATCTGTTAAACATTTGAACTTGTCACCTGATGATCTCCTGTGACCTAGGGCTTGCAAAAGGGGGCCATGAATGATTTTGCAGAATGTGAATTGGACCAACTTTGTTGTGCATGCAGGTCTGTGTGAGGCAGGTCACATGACCATTGCATCATTGTTGCGCTTGCATTGACTCTGTCATATCCATACAATCCCAACCTCTGCTCCAGGCTCCCGGCACTCTGAAACTGACTCCGGAGCCCTACTTCCCTTCCATCACCTTCTCCTTGCCAACTTCCAAGAGGTTATCCCACCTCTGGCTCTGACACCACCTTTGGTCCAACTCTGGAACATTCTGGGTCCAACCTCAACCTCGACACCTTCCAGACAAGCATGCAACACCTATGCTCCTGACTCCAGACCTCCACTCTGGAACCCCATTCACGTCTCCGTTTCCAGATCCTCTGGTCTTAGCTCCGACCTCGGACTTTGACCCCACCTCCACTTATACCCATTGTATTGGTTAGCTCATTCCATTTAATTGCCTTTGCCAATATTCCGGAGTTTAACTTCCGAGTTTGGACTTTTTGGACTTACTTTGGACCTTGCAACTACTGCATTGTCCCATTCAATTCTGCTATACTCCCTCATTCCTATTTGGGCTGCTGCTTCCTTTCTATTCAGTCAGCTGGCCATTCCCCACTCCCATCCTCCTTCCTTCCTCCTTGGGCCTTGGCCCTTCACTCCTCCTTTGGGAAACACCATTGAGTCAAACCCTTGACCCTCGGTGTTGTTCCTCCTTCCAGCTCCCTTTGTCTCCTTTCAGAGTACCCTTGCTCCTTTTGATTCCGGACCACTCCTTATATACAATGTACATAGTAACTTGTAACCTCAGTCCAAAATTGACTTGATTTCCCCCCAAGAGACTTTCCTTTGCTAGATCCGAAATTAGGGACCCCCAGGACAACCAGCAATGGCACAGTGCTCTGCCTGAGTTGCTGAGGCCAAGGTCCTTCCAGTTAGAACGGGTGGATTCGGACAACTCTGGAGTGGAATCGGAGACTTAGCATGGAAGGACCTTGGCCTCAGCGACTCAAGTGGAGCGCTGTGCCATTGCTGTTTGTCCATTTGGTCCTTAATTTCACAGTAGGCGAGCAGGAAGTCTCTAGGGGGCATTTCAGGTCGGTTTCGGACTGAGCCCAAAACGAGTATGTACAAGCGCCGATATATATAATGGAGGGGGCAAAAGCACAAGGAAACAAAGGGGATCCGAATCGGAATGAAGGCGTCCGAACGGGAACAAAGGGAAGACAGAAGCGGAGCGGTACCAAAGGTCATAAGGCAGAACCTGTGATACGTCTGAAAGGAGGTATGGAGGGCGAGGCCCAGAGGGGCAGGAGGATGAGGAGAAGTGGGGATGATGACTAACTGGCTAGAATGGGAAGAAGCAGCAGTCCAAATAGGGATGAGGGGAAAACGCGAGAAATACATTACAAGCGGTGAAAGTGCCAAAGATGATCCATGGAGCTCGGAGGTTACAGAGGTTACAGAGGTGGGGTTGAAAGTCCGAGGGATATTGGCAATGGTGTTTATGTAGTATGAGGTCACCAATGCAATGGACTAAGACCGAGGTGGAGTCAAAGTCCGAGGTAGGGACTATGATGGAGGCTCGGAGCAAAGGTATGAGTGGTGCCTGAGTACGAAGTACGGGACAGCAGTGGAAGGTCGTAACTTGGTGGGAGGTCGGCAGAAGAGTACCAGAGGGAAGAGAGAGGAGAAAGGGAAGAGGGAAGGAGTGGTGGGAAGGAGAGTTGTCAGGTCCGAAGGTGAGTATTGGAGTGGATGGGAGAAGCGTAGGAGGATGATGGAAGGGTGGAGGTGTTGTGAGGGAGGAGCAGAGGAGTAGGAGGAGTAGTAGGAGGGTGGTGAGGGAGGTGGTGTTCGGTCCGAGGTGAGTATTGGAGCGGATGGAGATAGGGGAGGAGAGGGAAGGAGGAGTGGAGGTGGCATGGGAGGTAAGAGGAGGTGTGGTGCCAGGACCGAAGGCGAATATCGGAACAGACAGCAGTAGGGTAGGACTCCGGAGGTGGTGAAGGAGGAGGTCTGGGAGTTGGGTCAGGATTGGGTATGCATGGATATGACATGTAGGTAATATATTGAAAAGAGGGGGTGGTGACCATCGAGGGAGTCGGAGGTGATTGCAGAATACAGGGGCTCTGAGGTTAGTGATAAAGGAGCAGAGGTAGTCCAGAAGGATTGGAGGTAGTGGAGGACGATGGCCGTAGATGGATATGACACCACACCTCATTCATCCATAACTAACCCTGTTAGGACCCAGTTATTTTGACTGCCAAGTGTGTGGTGGAGGGTTGAAGCAAACTAGACAATGTGTAGATATATGGATTTTGGAGGATAATGGTGTCTACATTGGCCAGCTTGCACAGGGAAACTGTCAGTCCTGCAATACATCTCACTTTCCAGATTGCTATTGCACTTCCATCAATGGGAAACTTACCAATATCTTTAATCCTGATGCAGCTTATCTCTGCATTGGAGGTAATATCTGGATTAATCGGCGAGTTGCTCAAACCCAGTCCAATCTATGTTATACTGCACATATGTCATCTGAGGGCTTTGCATCATTCTATTCACAGCGATATGGGAAGGATAAGATTTCCCTGCTTCCAAAGCATGCATGGAAGTTATTTGTCTTACATGAGTCCCTCAAGTTGTGCAAAGCTACCAATCATGAGCTTGTTCTTTCATCACACACAAGCATCACAGCTTTGGCTTCAAAGATGCAAGAAAAAATTTTCCCTGGAGCTGTCAAGACAATCCAAGGTGCACTTGCTCATCAGTGTGCTCAGTGCTTCCACCCATACCAATCCCTGCAAGAGGGAACTGCAGTATGTGATCTACTTACTATTTTTACTTTCCCTTGCTAACTCCTTCCTACCAGCAAGTGACAATTAATGATAATCAGGAGGTTGATATGATTGTGGTGGATGGCATTTGCATGGGACATCGCCTTTGTGCAATGCCTAAATGCCCTAACCTTCCACTTAATTTTCACTCAAAGAAACTCTGTGCAGAACATGGAAGGAGTAGGGGCCATTTATGTGGCATAGCCCCTTGCCAGAATCCACATGTAACAGCCCCCTTGAACTCTGGTGCTTGTAGTCTCCCTGACCATCAACAACACTGGGAGGCATTCTCTAGAACACATGATAAGGAGTCATATGGAACCACCAAGGACAAGGCCTTCTTGGAGTTTCATCCCCAACAGAGGAATGGGTTATGAATGCTCATCACATTGCTCAGCAAGCCCTACCTGCCCCAGAGGATCCTGAGCAAGTCATTCCACATCATCATTGTGATGGTGAGGCACCATCTCCAAGTGCATCATCCTGATCCACTCCATGTGGGCAGCACACATGACAATATAGACATGTATATTGCCTTGAAACTCTCACCCATCCATGTGGTTGTATTGTGGCTTGGACTAAATATATGGTGTCCGAAAGCCCAACCAATATTCTTCATACACTTGAAGAAGTCTTTCCAGACCCAGACTCCTGGCCATCATACATTGTAATTGATAAGGCATGTAGAATCCTGGCTACACTGATGAGCCAAGGACAGCATCACAGATGGTTTCTGTCATATCCATATCAACTCTGCCTCACCTCCACTCCACTCCGCCACTATTTCGGTCCACCTCCAGTCTGTCCTCCCCCCACACCTCTGCTATACCCTCCGGTTCACCTCCAGTTCACCTCTGCCTCTGATCTCTGGTACCTTCTCCAGTACCTCTTATCCTCATCCTACATGTTTATTAATATTTCTATCTACCCAATATTACTACAGACCTCCACCCACTCCGCAAAGGTTTTCCCACTTCCAGTAGCTGTCGCTAATTCCACCCTTCACCTACCCACTCCACAATGCCCAATAAGGTGATTCTCTCACGAGCTCGCTGAACCAGCAAGTGGGTAAGTCCCCCTTGGGTTTTCCCCTTTGTTCCCATTTGTCCTCTATTATGTATATAAGTCCTGTACTGTAGTTGATGGCACCTCAGTGCAAAATCGATGGCTAGACTCCCCCCAGAGTTTGTGCCCTCTTGTTCTGAAGTTAAGGACCAGACTCCTAAAGCATTACTGAACGTAGGCACAGTGCTCCTCTCCGAGTCGCTGAGGCCGCAGTCCCTCTGCTCGTTCTCTACCTCCAGCCTCCTTCTGGGGAAAGGTCCAGGGACACTGCCCTCCTCTTGTGTCCTTGACAGTTTCAAACATCCCATTTTCTGGTTGATGCTTTCCATTTCAGGAACCACCACAATGACCCTACATGCCAGAAATATTGCAATCCAACCCCTCAAGTCAAAGATGACCCAAATTTGGTTCTTCCTATTCAAGATGGAATAGTCAACAAGCTCAGTTTCAGCATGCTTTCAATACAGTGGCTGCAGAGCAGTTGAATGCTTGGTTTGGAGGCTATGCTTCACAGCTAAGTCATATGCATCCAACCAATCATGACTTTCTTGTGCATGTGATGCTTTCATATCACTTTGAAGTTAAGGGTAACATGTAATTACACCATTATTCCCACACCTGTCATTGTTGTACCTAATTTATGATCAATCATAATGATTCATGGGAAGACTCATAGTGATTCATGAAGGTCCATGAGGTTCCATGATCCTTTATGAAGCCCCATGAAGGCTCATGACACTTGATGATACTTCATATACAGGCATGTAACCACTCAAAGCCTGCTTCATAATCACTCATATAGAGGCTCATGAAGGACATGATATCCCATGAAGGCTCATGACACCTCATGAGGTTGCATGTAACTACTCAAAACCTGCCTGGAAGAACCACTTAAGTCATGAGCAATCATGACCCCCATGCAGGTTCATGACATCTGTCATATCCCGGAATCCTGACCCTGTGCTCTCCCACCTCATCACACCTTCCTAACAACTTCATCATCCCCTACACCATAACTCCCCACTCCCCAAGTCACCTTCCTTCCTAACTGTCTCAGCTCCAGACTGGTTGCGGCACACCTTCCCTTGGCCACTCCCATCCCAGAAGCTTGGTCCTGAAGTCAGAACATTCGGAGACTCTGGATCTGCTCCGACCTCTTGTGACTTACCTCTAAACCATTCCCCCTCCCATTTCATTTATTGGAGTCACCCAACATCCTTTGGATATGTAACTCCACCTTTGGAGCTACCCACATCCCCAGTGATCCCACTCACATCATCACAAATTGGTCACCTTCTATTTATAGTACAACTGTTGCCTTCTTTCCATTCAGTCAGCTAACCTCCTCTTACCCATTTCTCATTCCCATTTATCCTCTGGCCTTGTACTCTGCCCTTCTTAACCCGACTCCTTGGTTCCCTGTTAAGGATATCATTCGGGACCTTTCGGTACCTTTCAGTATCATTCGGCACCTTTTGGTATTTTCCATTATCACTTGGACTTTGACTAAAGTCCTTCCCATTCCTCCTTATATAAATACTTGTAGATTAGAACCTGTAGTTCCCCAGTTCTAATCTTGACTAAATGTTACCCCAAGTCCCTCTATGAGTGAATCCCGACCCCTTCCTACAAGATATCTCAGACACATGAAATATAAGGACTAACTGAGACATAATGGAGGCACAGCGCTCCCTCCGAGTTGCTGAGGCCACATCCTCCTTAGAGCCTCTTGTACCACCCAGCAGACCCAGGCTTCCTGGAGAAGCTTCGGTCCACTACCGGAGCTCTCAGATCCCCTCTAGTTGAGCCCTGCCTGCATTCGGACTCATGCACTTTCCCCTACGTTCAAGGTTTTTGACAACATCTCATGAAATTCCATGACAGTTTGTCATGAACCAGCATGTGTCAGGGGATGATCCCCAGGTCCCCATGACCCCTCTCTCTATGGCCCACAGCCCTGTGTGTAAGCAGTCTATCCTAAGGCACAACCTACTGAGGGTAAGAAAGTGATATAAAAGAAGGGGCAAGTAGATACACTTGCCTACTGTGGGTAAGAAAGTGAGAAGAAGGTTAACTTCTCACTTTCCCACAGTGGCCCCAATATGGCGAAAACTTCCAGGGATACCCGGAAGTCACATGAAGAATAGGAACCGGGCCCGGAGCTTGTGGCGCACAGAGCTTGTGGCGCACGGAGCATGCGGGGCAGAAGCGCACATGCAGGTCCAGGTCTGAGCTAGTCAGGGTGTGTGCCCTGACAGCATGACTGTGTATGACACTTCATGCTGCTTCATGAAGTTTGGTGACCATTCATGAAATGTCATGACTTCCATGATGGTTCATGGACCACCATTACACTTACTGGAAGAGTGGTCTGACCCCTCCAGTTGGCATGTCACATCTGCTGATCTGATCCATGAGAATCTTCTGGCCAAGTCAACTCAAAAGTCCATTCACTGGGGCTCAACACTCTCTATGGCCAGTGTAAATGAGCTCCTTGAAACATATGCTAGAGCAGCTGGGCTAAACACCCTAGGTCTCACATCTCATTGCTTCCAACATGGTGGAGTGCAATACTGGCTGCTTCATGCTGTTACTGTAGAACAGTGGTCTCTTGAGCAGTGTCATTGGTGAAGAGGCTGGGTTGCTGGTGAAGATGTGAGTGTACCCCCTTCCCTTTTTCCAAAAACCATCACTTGACTTATGATATTGTTCTGCCAGTCAAATACCCTCTATGCCGTTGATGCTCTCCAGGATAATGAAGTTGATTACAGTGATGCATGGCCCACTCAAAATTGACTATTGAGGTTCTCCTGGTGGTGCTGCTTCTGACTCTCAAGCAATGACTGTGGGAAAAGGTCATGCTCAGTTCCAATGGATTAATTGACAGTTATTAATCATTGTTTCTGACTTGAGGGAATAACCAGTTTTTGCTGGAGCAGGGAAGGGTAGCAAAAGAAGAAAAGGAAAGTGAAGGTGATGAGTCCTTCACAGTCCTGACTTATCAAGAATAAATAATGAATAAACAATGAAAGCAAAAGTGATTAGACCTAAGTCACACATAGAACAAAGCACAGGTGACATGTGTAAGAAGACCAGATCCTTAGGGGGATGATATGACTCAAGGTTTGGAGGGCTTCAGCCTCAGTGACTTAACCCAGGAGCGCTGTACCATGCAACACATCAGAGCCCTAATTTTCAAACAGGAGAGTCTTTCAGAAAGGGGAAAACTCTTGTTGATTATCTGACTGAATTGGTATTGACAGGTATGGTATATATAGATACATGGGAAGTCTAAGGGGGGCCCATAAATGGCAGGAGACAGGCAAGGTTGACATAACAGGATCAAGGGTTAGTCAACTGAATGTTACCAATGATGGATTAGTGGGCAACAAACCAAAAGGGGAATGGAGAGGGCAGTCCAAAGGTGAACTTGCAGGGCAGGCAACTAAATGGCCCAATGGAGGAAGGGGTATGCTTGGAGCTGTCTGGAGATCTTTGGGGTTCTGTACTTAGGGAGGTGTTGTCAGAGACCAGGTTGAGACAAGGGAGTGTCTCCGTGGTGGAGGGCTTCGGCCTCAGTGACTTGTGCCAGGAATGCTGTGCCAAGTAACATGTCCGTGCCCTAACTTACTAACTGGCAACCAGAACTGAAGGGGGTAAACTCTAGTCGATTTTATTACTGAAGTGTAACCTATGTACAAGTTGGATATATTTACAGTGAAGACAGGTCCACAAATGGCGGAGCCGAGCTAATGGGGTTAAACATTAGCCGACTGAATGTTACTGACGAGTCGGGTTACAGGGTTAATAGAAAGGCAGGCGATAACTCAGAAACGGAAAGGAGGGATAGGCCCGAAGGTGGGCTCTGCAGGGCAGGCGAGTGTATTGCCCAGCGGAGGCGGGAGTGCACTAGCAGATGTCAGAGCTGTCTGGAAGCCTTCGTGGCTCTGTACTTAGGGAGGCATAGGTAATAAATTGAAAGGAGGGGGTGGTGACCATCGAGGGGTACTGAGGGGATTGCGGAATATGGGAGCTCTGAGGTTAGTGAAGAAGGAGCAGAGGTAGACCGGAGGAATCGGAGGGATTGGAAGTTGATGGCTGGGGATGGATATGACAGGTGTAAGAAATGGAAGGGTGGTGACCATCAGGGGGGTTGGAGGTGAAGACAGGATTCAGGGGGTTCCAAGGGTGATGTGAGCAGAACAGAGGTTGTTGGAGATGGCCAGAGGTGGTGGTGGAGGATGGATATGACAATATGGGTGGGTGATTAGACCTTAGCCACACTGTGAATGAAGAATAGGCAACACAGGTGGACAGACCTGAGTTGCTCTGAAAAAATTGATAAAACATTGGTAACAAAGGTGGTTCAACCTTTGCCATGCAAAAAAATACAATGTCAAGCCCATGATGATCCACTCCTCCCTAGACAATTGTCAGGGGGGAGTCAGGGTTGATAGACCCCAGGCCAGTAAGACTTGCTCCTCCCTGGATGATTATCAAGGAGGTCCAAGCTTGTGGCCTTTCACCACTGCCCTGGCATGTGAGACATGGCAGGGAGTGCCAAGCTGGTCTGCCAGTGCTAGACAGGCAGAGAAGCCCTTCAGAATGAGCAAACACTGCCATTGACTGGCAGCAAAAGGAAGTGCAGACTGGAAACAGTCTGAGAGGCAGAGACACCTCTCCGAATGATGGAATGCTGCCATTGACTGGCAGCAGAAGGGAGTGCAGACTGAAAAGTCTGCACACCCTCTCCATTACAAGAGGGAAAGGATAACCTTAAACTCTGGGAATTCTTTGGTAATTAACCTGAGGTTTCCCTCAGGAACTGCTGTATCTGTGAGTGCTAACTCACTCCTCCCTGTACAGTTGTCAGGGAGGTCTAAGATCACAGTTGTACAGCTCACAATTTCACCATTGGCCTGTACAAGAACACCTGTGCACATGGTTCTGTGACTGCAAGCAGGGTAGTATCAGGCAATGATGATGTGCTGGGGCCTCACCAGGCTCAGTCAGCATGTCAATGGGACTAGCTTGCAGTGCTTGCTCAAGCACTGCAACCCAAAACTCAAGTGGCTTTGTGCCAAAATGGCACATTGTGTTACAAAAATGGGGCCGGAAGCGCCCATTTTCATCCGTTCTGGCGCAGGAATAGGGAAGGGGGTTGGACATAATGGTTTACAGGTGGTTTCACAGATGATTTGACATGTGGTGTAACAGATGTTAGCACAGCGGTTTTTTTGGTAATTGTTGATTGGTTAAACTCAATTACTATACAAATCATGTGATACAGAACCCATAAGAGTCTAAAATGGGAAATTCCCATTTCCATAACACATTGTCAGTTGCATTGCATCAGAATGTGACTTAGTTCTGGCAACTGGGGCCTCATCTGGCCTGGTCAGCACAACAATAAGATAGGTTTGCAGCACTCAAGTGCTGTACCCAAATTCCTGATGGATATTATCCATCTGGCTTTGTGTCTCCACTTGGGATGCATCAAAACAGGGTATAAGACTGTCATATCCATACAATCCCAACCTCCACTCCGGGCTCCCGGAACTCTGAACCTGACTTCCGGAGTCCTACTTCCCTTCCATC